ACCCTATGACTATCATTAAGTGTTGTACCTTATGATTCTTGACGAACGTATCTTTTCTTTTATGTACACTGAGAGCGTATGCACCAAGACAAATTCCTTGTGTGTCCAATCACACTTGGCCAATAAAAATTCTATTATCTCTCTAAGATTACATCACCTCTTAGATTCAGTGTCTAACAGTAAAGCCAAATTTAGGACAAAATTTATGAAAGTGTTTTGAAGTTTTAGCAAGATTATTATTGTTCAATTGCAGAAAATTTACCACACATGTTAAAGGCAGCTAGTTCGACCGACTAAAGCATGATGACTTATATCTATAATACGCTATGAACATATGCCATCACAAACTAATAAAAGTACTGATTGACTTACTTTGTGTCCACAAAGATTGATTGTCTTTTTCCTATTTGAGAAAGATATTTTATTAGGCAGGCAAGCAGTATGCAGAGTCATAGGCACCAGCAGGTGCCAATCTATCTGATTATTTTACCGAAAGGCAATTTGTAAACGAACTCTGGGCTTTTTAATTAGAGAGTGAAGCAAACCGGCTAATCAACACCCAGTAATGACAAAATTATCACAGCCACACAAAAATCCCAGGATTTTTCTTTATTAAAGACCACATTTCGAAACACTTCGTTTCAAAGGCTTTCAGGGCAAGGAAACACATTACAGGTGGTCCTCGCTGAATGATCTTTGCTCAGCAAGCGTCTTGTCCAGCGTGAAGAACCAGAGCTACATGTGCAGAGTTTGAGCCAACTACTTTATTACATGCTGCCTATAATATAGGAATCTTCCCAGATTGGCAGCCTACTCGTGGGAGCAATTAGATAAGGCTCCAACTTGGAAAGTTGGACTTAGCCCTTTTCCGATTGTGTAGTGATTCTAGGCTAGCTCTCTGCTTGATCCCTCCTCCCTGCCAGGCTGGGGCCTTCCCAATACATTCAAAGTTATGGCCATGCTGAACAAATGGTAGTTATACCTGGTCCCTGAAATTATGGCCACTGCGGTGCCCCACAGTCATGTGATCAAAATTCAGGTGCTTGACAGCTCACCCCATTTAATGACTACACGGCCACTTCACCACTAACTCTCCCACCAGCCTATCTCTCTCTCATCTCCGACCTTCCGGCTGTCCTGCACTCAGCTGCCTCTGCTGAACCTGCCACTCTGTGATTTGACATCCCAGCTAACTTTCTCTGGCTTCTGGCTTCCGCTGTTTACAATACACCATTGGCATGGCCATCTTGAGGCAGCTGCACAAGATCTTCTTCCCCCGTTTCCACCTGGCAGTTTCCTCAGGAGACCTTAGGGATGGTGGAGTGCAAAGTAAGTGTTGTGGCCCACCAACGGCCAGCAGAGCTGGCAGCAGATTCGGACAGTGAGGAGGTTGGGGAGGAACATGGGCCAGTCCTGGAGTCTGGGGAAGGCTCGGACGAGGGCTCTGAGTCGGAGGCCGTGAGGGGGCCAAGGCCATCTGGTAGTTCTTTGCTGCCTCCGGAGTCTCCAGAGTCTGACATCAGTGAGGCAGAAGAACAGCGGGAGCCTGTTCCCACTGTGTGCATGTGCAGAGCTGCCAGGAGACAGGAACAATTAAGGAAATAGGGTCGACTTGGGAGTAAGGCTTGGAGATGATTGGCCCCGCCCATAAGACATAAAAAGAGAAGTGAACGGGACGTGAGCTTTTGCAGGAAGCAATTAGATCATCTGGCCGATTCAAGATTGGAAACTTCTGTTTGTGACTCTGTGCCAAGTTTGGCCTTGCCCTGCGTCTGGAAATTAGCTCTTTGGCAGTGTTCCTCGTGAGATAGGTGGGTGTTCATAACCTTCCTCTGAAAGACTGTTTATCAAGCCTTGCGGACTGTAAATGAAAGTAATTTACAGCCGTATGAATTAAAGAGGTTTGCTGGGACAGCAAAGTTAAACAGCACAAAAGTTTGTGCTGTTTAATTTCTAAGGAAGCCTAGGTCAGAACAGTACGTATAGCTAGGACTTCATGCTGCACCACTGCACCAAGCAGCCTGCAGGTAGGTTTTGCTGGTATTGGGCACTTCTCCTCCGGCATTTGCAAAGCCCACTGGCCAGTTCACCAGGAGCATTTCCGATGTGAACTATCAAGCGCATACTGGAGGTTCTCATGGAGAACTGGTCTGCAGGCTTCAATGCATGGGAAGCTGATAGCCCTTTCAAGGCTTTATTGAGGAAGGAGACAGCAAGCTGTGTCTGATGTGTGGAGCCCCAGCAGGCAGAATAGATGTGCACATGGGAATGCATGCATAGCGGGCTGAGACTGCCGAAGAGGACAGGCCCATTAGGAGCCTGGAGACCAGGGTGGCGGGAATGGCAGTGATCCCAGGACCAACAGAGCCCCTGCACTGAAGGATAAACAGATGACAAAGATGCACTATGGGAAAAGGGAGACAGCAGGAGTAGCTGGCAGAGTCCAGGATGGCCAAAAAGGGCAAAGATTGGGGGGGGGGGAGATGGAGGGGTGGGGGGAGTTGATATGGAGTTTATTATTTATTTATTTATTAATCAAATTTCTATACCGCCCTACTCCCGAAGGACTCAGGGCGGTGAACAGCCAAGATAAAATACAGATAATACAAATATTAAAAATCCCTTAAAATTATTAAATATTTTGGCCGAAACACAGATTAAAACACCCAATTTATAAAATCACGAATTAAAAATTTAAAAGAGGAGAGTTGAATGAAGCAGGGCAGGAGAAGTGTGAGGGTCTCTTCTAAGTTACAGCCAGATATCCTTAGTTCTGGTTTTTAGGCTCTGGTTGTTGTTAAAAGACAGACACAGACTTCAACAGATAATTAGGACTACAGGAAAAATAATTGCAACAAGCCTGCCTTCCGTTGAGCACCTGTATACTGCACAAGCCAGAAAGAGGGCTGTGAAAATATCTATAGAGCCTTCTCATCCCGGACATAAACTGTTTCAACTTCTTCCCTCAAGGCGACGCTACAGGGCATTGCACACAAAACTAACTAGACACAAGGACATTTTTTCCCCATGCCATCACTTTGCTAAACAACTAATTCCTACAACACTTATCTTATGTCCTGGGATGTCAAAGCACCACTAGGGCTAGATTACTATTATCCTTTTCATCTTTCCTATTACTTATTTCCTTAGCTTCTTGTGACTATAACTTTGTTGTTTGTATCTTATGATTTATGTTGATTGCTTTCATTAGTATCCAATTATGATTTATGTTGATTGCTTATTTATATCCTATGACTAGCACTGAATGTTGTATCTTATGATTTATGATGATTGTATTTTATGATTATGATCATCATTTAACACTTGTTGCTTATATGTACTCTGAGAGCTTTTGCACTGGAGACAAATTCCTTGTGTGTCCAATCACACTTGTCCAATAAATAATCCTATTCTATTCTGGTTGTGAAGCTTCTGGCTTAACAACCACAACTAGGCATACCGAAACTCCATTCCTGAGCAATGTGATCATGTGATGTTTCCAGATCCAATCTGGGTCAGTCACCGGGACCAAAGGTTTAGTCTTCCGAGCTTTTGGACTCGTGCTGGAGCCCATCCTCAGGCAACTTCTCTCTACTGGAATGTGTACTTTGGGCTATTTTAGATGTAGTATTTATGTGGTGCCTGGTTGGCTGTGGGGTTTTTTATTGGTTGATTGGAGTGTTGATGGATAGTATTATTATCTGATGTTTCATCTAATGACCGCTTTGCTTAGCGATCAAAATTCCAGCCCCATTTAGATTATTAAAACAAAGACTCCCTGTGTTCTGTCCCCGTCCCACACATGCACCCCCACAGACGGCCCAGAGTTAATAAGCCACACGACAGAATCTTTGAAGATAAAGCTGGCAGCAACCCAGTGGCTAGCTGCCAATTCAGACTTTACTCACACAAAACAAAGATTAGACTGCAAGCATTCCGATAAAGCAGGCAAAGTTTCCGCAATACAAGGATTAGTCCAAATGCAGTCCGACAAGGCAGGCAGAAGTCCAGTAACGCAGAGATCATGGATTATTTTTAGTTTTTGCTCATCACAAACTGAACCGACCACCACACCCACATTTATACCCTGTGGGGTGTGGTCCAGTGACTCAGCTAATCTCTGGCACGCCTTCCCCTCTGCTGCGCACGCTTCTCCCTGCGCCTCTGCCGAGGGTCCAGCCAGCACTTATCTCCTTCGTCACTGTCCACCTGTGGCTGCGGGGACGTGCTTGGCTCTGGGCCTATCTTTTGGCCTTCGGTGTCCTCCGGAGGCATTGCCAGAGAGGAGGGTCCTGGAGAGGAAGGCCTTGCCAACTCCTCTCCCTCACTCTCAGAGTCTGCATCTGTCGATAGCCCAGGCTCAGGCAACGGAGCCACAACACCCTGTACTTAAAACCGAACTAATAAGGCAACAAAACCACATTACGTCCAACAGCAGCAGCAACACCAACAAATCAGTTCATACTGCATTCAACCTCATGGTTTCATAGATGGACTGTATAGTGTTAATATACAAAATTAAGACTCCAGGCCCGTCACTCAGAAAGATTAAGAGTGCTCAGATCAACTTCTAGAAAGGGCAGCCAAGTAGGAACCAAAAACCAAAGAACATTCTCAGCAATTCGTAACTCAGACAAGGGTGACAATCATTATATAATTCAAAGTACCCACAACTGGTATTTTAACACACCTACAGTCCACTGGAGCAGACAGCAAAACTGTATCCCAGCACTTAGCAACTGCTTTTGAGGAAAATAATGTCTATTCTGGATGATTCCCCATGACTACATGAACTAAATATAGAGGCGATAATTTCATAGTAAGCCATTTTGCTACAATGATTTAATAAACGATCCCACCCGAAAAAGCACAAGTGGCATTTTGCATCATTCAACTTTTGACAGAATTTCTCAGTGCTTTTTTGCAAAGTTATTTCAGCAAGAAGGAACCCATCAAAAAAAATCTTACTTTGCCGAACTATCCGTCTTCGCATTACTCACCCCACTGGAGAGGCGCCAACTGCAGGTGATCGAGGACAACCTGATTAAGGATCCCTTCCACGCTGGCCTCCCCTTCACGCTTCAAAGAGGGGTAAATGATAGTTAAGGAACACTGAAAAGAAATACACTTACACAGTCTTTCAGGGCGAATCTGTATACAGGATTTCAGAGGACGGAGATCAAAGTAAGAACTCAAGGTCCCACCCCAATGAAGTCTTCTTCAAATATTTTCCTTTGGGATGGGGAAAAAAGAAGCTACGGTAATTGGGAAATTTAGCCCATGCTGCTCCTAGAAGCTGTAGCCAGTGCTTGAACCAAAGAGCTTTAGATAAGCTGTAAAGTGGTTTGTTTGTAAACTGTAATTATGGCTTAGCATGCTACCAAGTTTGATGTTTGCAGTAATCTGTTATTCCATACAGGATGGCTTAGTTGGATAAGCAATCTGTGCCAAAGAGAAATCTGAGTCGTGTTCTATATTCTGAGTCAAGTAATCCAGATATCACAGGAAGGGGCGAAACTAGACTACATCAAGGATGTGATCATTATTCAGTCTTTACAATTACTGTGCACACAAGTCTTCCCCAAAATATGTGTTAGGCCTGCAATTCCTATGGAGCACGACAATGATAGAACAAAAGGCAAGGAGATTTCATGTCTTCCCACTGGCAGAAACTTTCCAAATTCTTAAATGACTTGTAAAGTAGAAATACTGGAAAACTTGACTTAAAGTTGATTTTGTATTAATACGGGGAGTCCTCAGTTTACGACCACAATTGAGCCCCAAAATGGTTGCTAAGCGAGACAGTGGTTAAGTGAGTTTTGCCCCATTGTCACAGTCGTTATGTGAATCATTGCTCTTCTTAAAGTTAGTAAGACGGTTGTTAAATGAATCTGGCTTCCTTAGTGACTTTGCTTGCCGAAAGATCGCAAAAGGGGATCACGTGACCCCAGGACATTGCAACCGTCATAAATATGAGTCAGTTGCCGAGCATCTGAATTTTGATCATGTGACCACAGGGATGCTGCCACGGTTGTAAATGTGAAAAACGGGTCATAAGACAATTTTTCAATACCATCGTAACTTCAAACAGTCACTAAACAAACTGCTGTAAATTGAAAAGTACCTGCATTCCCACTTATTGACAATAATTGTAGAAATGCTGAACTAAATTAATTTAATCCCTCCATTTTTAAAGGAGCGGAAGAAGCTGGTGGTCAAATTTCATTTTTCCTTTCAGGTAATCTCAGCGTAACCCTTATTTGGAGACATCAACTAAATGATTCCACTGCCTCTACTAGTTCTCAGCCCTTAATCACTTGGCTATGCAGTTTGACCTCTGGCATTTAATTAAGAAGATGTTTCACTTATAATTTCCCAGAGGAATAAACACAGGTGAGCAAGTGTCCTACTTTAGCACCAGTAAATAAGAGTTTCACAAATAGAAACTATACTAACAAAAATGCGTGTAATGATTCATAGATCTATCGATAATTCTCCGATTTTATTTCCATTGTGAAGTTTGCAATACGGAGGATCATTTTTTTAAAATTTGGTGCGGTGGTTAAAGGTAGAACCTGGGAGGCTGTGACAAGGGTGAAATGCTCCTGGTTCAGAACGGATTGCCCGATCCGGTAGCGATGGCAGTGGGTGGTTCGGAGAACCGGTAGCAAAAATCCCTGCGCCCCCCCCCCCAACCATGCCCAGCTGAACCACACGATCATCAGAGCCTTTTTTTTTTTACTTTTAAAAGCATTTTTTCTACAACTACTTCCACCGAAAAAATGCTTTTAAAAGTAAAAAACAAAAAGGCTCTGATGATCGCGCGGCTCAGCTGGGATCTCAGAGGCTTTTCAAAGCATTTTTTAAAACAATCAGGCAACTCAGCTGGGATCGTCAGAGAGACTTTTAAAGCATTTTTTTAACCACCTCTTCAGCAGAAGAGGTGGTTTAAAAAATGCTTTGAAAAGTCTCTGACGATCTCAGCTGTGTTCCTGATCGGCAGAGGCTTTTCAAAGCATTTTTTTGCATTTGCAGAAAAAATGCTTTGAAAAGTTAAAATAAAAATAAAAAGTTTGCCACGCCCACCCAGTCACATTACCCCCACCACCACCAAGCCACGCCCACAGAACCAGTAGTAATAAATTTTACATTCCACCCCTGGGCTGTGAGTTCTACTCTCACCTTCGGCACAAAGAAAGCCAGCTGGGTGACCTTGAGCCAGTCATTCTCTCTCAGCCCTAAGAAGCAAGAAATGGCAAACCATTTACGAAAAATACTATAGGGATTAGTCCAGGAAGTTGTCAGGAATCAACAGACTGAAAGGCACCCATAAGAACATTCAGCTTTGGCACTACAGATAGTCCTCGACTTACAACAGTTCGGTTAGTGTCCATTCAAAGGTACAACAGCATTGAAAAATGTGACTTATGACCATTTTTCAAAGTTACAATCGTTGCAGCATCCCCATGGTTCACGTGATCAAAATTCAGACGCTTGGCAACTGACTCATATTTATGACAGTCGCGGTGTCCCGGGGTCACATGATCCTCTTTTGCGACCTTCTTGCAATCAAAGTCAATGGAGAAGCCAGATTCACTTAACAAACAGGTTACTAACTTAACAACTGCAGTGATTTACTTCACAACGGTGGCAAGTAAAGTCGTAAAATGGGAGAAAACCCACTTAAGAAATGTCTTGCTTGGCAACTGGGGCTCAACTGTGGTCATAAGTCAAGGACTATGTGTACTTGATTCCAAATGGAAGGTTCACAATGTATTAAAAAAAAAAATTACAAAACTCAACAAAATGGGGATCCAGACACTATCTACAGACCGAAACAAAAATACCAAAGAAATTGGATTCATTTGTTTAGAGCGTTTGCTCACTCTTTCTTCTGCATTAATATAATTTATTCATAGAGATTTCTGCTGCTATTGTTACCGCATAATAACCTTCCCATGTTTTTCCTACCTAATCCTTCCTTTGGGGTTTTTGATTCTTTGTTTAGTCATTTGAGAGCGTCAAGAAAAACTGCAGGTATACACTCGAGGGACATGGTTTCATGCTATTTAGAGACATGGTGTTTTGACAACCCTGGAGATGGGGTAAAATACTTTTATCCCCACTCAACTATCATTAGAAGAATTTTCACCGTTTCAAAGATATAATGGGCTTTTGAGAATCAACTGCATGATGGAGGGTGATAATTTTAATGTCTGCGCTAAATAATCACCAATGGCAAAGTATATTTCAAACTAATAATGATTGAAATTTAATTGAATAGTTAAAGTTTAATTTTTGTAGATGGTTAATGATTATTATCACAGTTTTATTCATTCCTTTCGTACGTGGCCATTCTAATTTTTCCCACCAATGTAAGAGACGACCAAGCTGGGCCTGAGGGAGGGGTCAAAGGTTTCATCAGTCTCGAGTCCAGTGGTGAAATTCAGCTAGTTCTATCCGGTTCGGGCAAACCATTAGCACCGGTGGCGGGAGGCTCCGCCCACCCGGACGTTATCAGTTCCATTTTTTACCCTCTGCACATGCGCAGAGGTGTCACACGCACGCGTAGCGAGTGCACGCGCTCACATTTGTGAACCGCTAGCGAAGGTAAGCAAGTTTCACCTTAATCCAGCCCACCTTGAATTCTGTTGACTCATATCTACTGCCAATTTGCTTTGACTGTGTGCAATTCAGATTCCTGTAGGGAGCTTTAGCATTCATAGAACATAGACCAATAGAGTTGGAAGGGAGTCAGAGGTCTTCTAGTCTAACCCTCTGCTCAAGTAGGAGACCCTATATCATTTCAGACAAATGTCCAGTCTCTTTTTGAAAAGCCTTCAGGGATGGAGCATCCTCAACATCTGAAGGCAAGCTGTCTTAATTGCAATAAACCCATAGTCATTTGAATCCTCTTGCTTCCCAATTATTGCACCTCATACCAGCAATCTTATCTCCTCCAATGGTCTAATAGGGAGGGGGGGGAGTTTCAGGAGCTTTTGGCATTCTTCAATAGATACATTTAAAAATACATGAAAAACCGAAAAAGGGTAAACCCTAGAGCCACATCAGGCGTTTTTCTAAATTGTGGATTTTCATTTTGCATCTGAGTACAAGTGCTTTTCTCTTTCAAAATCCCAGCCAAATTCCTTACCAAAATTGCCCTTTCGGTTGAAAAACTCCTCCACGCAGAGCACTAAAATCTGAACTACCTATTAAATATTTAGAAAATATTAATCAAACGAAAGGGCTGAAGAATATTAACCAGTCTAAAAATTGTCTGCCATCTGCTCCAATGCCGAATAGCAGAAACAACATTCTGCTCCACAGAAAACAGCAGATGCCATTAGCACATGCTACATTCAGATGTAGAAGCTTTCCAATATTGGAATTTGAATAGTTGAAAAAAAAAAATTGCTAGAGGTTCTTATTTAAATAAGAACATTAAAAAATGTATTATTAGACACCTAGAAAGATATTCCCCTGGAGTGTGAAGGAGAAACACTATATAATGTTCCAATATATATCCCGTTTCCCCCAAAATAAGACATCCCCTGATAATAAGCCCAATCGGGCTTTTGAGCGCATGGCAATAAGGCCAAGCGCTTTTTTCAAGGTTCAAAAAAATATAAGACAGGGTCTTATTTTCAGGGAAACACAGTAGTGTTTTATCATAAGAAGCTGGGCAGAAGCTCTTCCTAATTATGATTTGTTTGTCTTACACACACAACAAGGTTCCCACTCATTTGATATCAGCGACGCGGACAAAATAGATCTGCAAAGCTACTCCAACCAGCTTGTCCATTCTTTCTACCTAAGCCAATTTTCTCTCACCGATTTCTGCTCCAACGGTTCAAAATAATTGCCTGCTTACTTATGATTTGTAAGAGCAGAAATGGGTGAGCGGCCAAATACATTTTACATGAACCTTCTCCTTCAGAACTTAAAACCATTCATTACCTGAGCGGTAGCTAAATTTTATTTTGCTGCAATGAAAGCAGGATATAACTGGTTAAAGATATATTTGTCTTGGGTTTAAACATTACTTTCAGTTTGATACACCTTAACCGATCATTTGTAGGGGATATAGCTGAGCCAGAACTGAAGAAGCTTCTTGGATGAGGAGCGAAATGTTTTCAAGGGGAAAAAAAAATCCAAGAAAGTCCAGTTGCTTTTGGAAAAAGCACCTTTGGGACAACCAACTCTTTGGGACAAAGAGTTTTGTCTTTGTCCTCTTGTCTCTTCCCCTTTGTCTTGTATTTGGGACAAATACAAGACAACCAACTCTTGTATTGTTGTATTTATTTGTTTCATTCTGTTTTTGTTCTTTTGTTCTTTTTGCTGGTCTTTGACTTGAATAAACATTATTGATTGATTGAGACCGCTGAGATGGAACCCAGAAATTCCCAGGCTACAAAGAACTGTCATGTAAAGACAGCTGAGCCGCTGTCAAGCCTCCAAAGAATAATCAAGAAAGCCTCACAAAATCATCCTCTTTTCCTTTTTCTTCCCCCTCTCCCCTCCTCCTTTTTTCCTTGTCTAGATCAAACTTTAAAGTGCCAGAATGAAGCCACATTCTTGGCTTTGTTGCTGGCCAAAAATAAGTAATTACGAGTACATGTTTCTGGTAATAGGCAAGGCTCTGCATCTCACTCTCCCCACATTCACGCTGCATGTTGTTATCTGCTAAGAGCCACCACTCGAGCGTATTGGTTTTGCCTTTAAGCACTCCAACTCTCAGCCTATTCAGGATCCTCCAAGTAGTATAAGGGAGGTTGGATCCTTCAGCCATATCCTCCTCTAATGTTATACTTTGCTCGATGGTTTCCTTCCTCCATCTTTCACTTGATAGGTAAAGGTAAAGGTTCCCCTCACACATACGTGCTAGTCGTTCCTGACTCTAGGGGGCGGTGCTCATCCCCGTTTCTAGGCCGAAGAGCCAGTGCTGTCCAAAGACGTCTCCATGGTCATGTGGCCGGCATCTTTCCACCAAAGGTGGTCCCTATTTTTCTACTTGCATTTTTTACGTGGTTTCGAACTGCTAGGTTGGCAGAAGCTGAGACAAGTAACGGGAGCTCACCCCGTTACGCGGCGCTAGGGATTCGAACCGCCGAACTGCCAACCTTTCTGATCGACAAGCTCAGCGTTGTCCCCACCGCGTCCCTTTTCACTTGATAGGTAGGCCCTTTAGCCCTGCTTTTATTTATGACCCTTTTTGGTTCTTTTTCTTGCTCTCTCTTCATTTGGAGAAAAATTGGCTCTCTGTGAGAGCAAACTAAATCTACATCTATTCTAATTTGATACTGATTTGGGGGGGGGAGAGAAATCTCATCCCAAAGTTCAGAGAATTCCATTACGGCTACCTCTCGAAGCCACCAAGAGGCTAATCAAGTATCCACGTATATCAGATGAGTGGAAGAGAAAACCCTAGGATATAAACTGTGGAATGCAGATATTTAAAGGCTCAGAATTCTTTGTTCTGCACTGAACAATAAATGTTTGCATTTAAAGCTTCATTACACGAGAGTCTTCTTCCAAATGAAATGCTGAACAATGATCAAGTGTCTGGAGAGCTGTAATTTACTGCCAACTATACTGTAGGCCATGGTCTCCCAACCTTCCACCGAGAGGCAATATACTCTTTAAAAAAATAGAGAGACACGTTAATGCTCAATATTGATATGTGAAGAACCCCAAATAATGTGTTGTGAAGGAGAGGCAAAGCAAAGGTGTGCTTCTACTCAATGGATATGTGTAGGAGATGACTAGATTGAGCTGAAGACAGGGGTCACACACGTCATCAGTCTCGAGTCCCTTTGCACCCACAAGAGATCGAAGTCCAGCCCACTTTGAATTCTGTGGACGCTTATCTACTGCCGATCTGCTTTCATCGTTAATAGTTCAGATTCTTGTAGAGAGTGTTAGCATGCAATAAGACTGTATTCATGTAAACCGCCTTGACTAAAACATATAAATAACGATTGCTGGAATTGGGTATGTTTAGTTTAATGAAAGGAAGGACTAGGGGTGACATGATAGCAGTTTTCCAATATCTCAGGGGTTGCCACAAAGAAGAGGGAGTCAAGTTATTCACCAAAGCACCTGAAGACAGGACAAGAAGCAATGGATGGAAACTAATCAAGGAGAAAACCAACCTAGAATTAAGGAGAAATTTCCTAATAGTTAGAACAATTAACCAGTGGAATAGCTTGCCTTCAGAAGTTGTGGCTGCTCCAACACTGGAAGTTTTTAAGAAGAGACTGGACAGCCACTTGTCTGAAATGGTATAGGGTCTCCTGCCTGAAAAGGGGGTTAGACTAGAAGACCTCAAAGGGTCCTTCCAACTCTGTTATTCTAACTCCCGATTTCCTGCACTTGACACTATGCTTTCCATTAAAACTATGTCTGCCACTTTTAATGCCTCAAGGGTCAGAGCAAAAGTATTTCTAGCATCTCTCTAATCATATTTCTTCTTCTTATATCCCATGGATTGCGGTCAGGAGTCAGATTCTATTTTCTTACTGATATTCTCAAAGGGACGTCTTGGAAGACTCGGAGTTATGCCAATGCTCATAAAAATACACACTACAGTTCTTCATTATTTAAAACATAAAAGCTGTGTGGAACGCTCAACTGGAGGGAGAAAATAAGGCGGCTTGAAAAGAAACCTAAAGAGAAATCTAAAGAGCCTTGGTGGCGCAGCAGACTAAAGCACTGTTAAGTAACATCAGCTGCCTGCAATTACTGCAAGTTCAAATCTCACCAGGCTCAAGGTTGACTCAGCCTTCCATCCTTCCGAGGTAGGTAAAATGGGGACCCGGATTGTGGGGGCAATAAGATGACTTTGTATAAAAAAGAACACCGCTTGGGGGGGCTGAAAGCCCTACTAAGCAGGTATATACAAAAGTATGAAGGCTATTGCTTAATGCATTGTAAGCCTCCTTGAGTCTCCGGAAAAAGGCGGCAAATAAATCAAACCAATAAATAAACCAATAAATAAATAAATAAATAAATAAAATCAAAGTGTTCGTTAAAATTAGTTTAAAAGTTTGTGATTATGTAAAATGCACCATTTTAAACCATTTCTTTTTCATATGCATTCCTAGAAATGAATTAACTTGAGAATTTCTGAAAAAAAAGGATATAATTTTCCAGACAATGTCTAACTTGTTGTTGATCTCCAGGCTTTTTGCTTGCTTTCTCTCTTCTTCCAGCTGCTTTGGATTTGCATATTGTACTCTTTCACCGGGTGAGTCTGGGTAACTTTCGAAGGTGAATTTGTCGACTTGTATAGCCATGCTACAATTGAAAAGAGAAAGAATTTACTGGCCAACTTTTATGGGACGTTTTGCGGATCCCGCGGCAAAGATGCACCACCTCAGTGAAATAACAGGAAACAGCGATGAGATGCATTTCTGCTAATACAGGCAGTCCTCGACTTATGACTGCAATTGTGGTCACGTCGTTAAGCGGGTCGTCATGTGATCCGATTTTGCAATCTTTTTGATGGTGAGCCAATCTTCCCAGCACCTCCCCCTCCCCCGAGTTCTTTACTGTTGTGGCCAGTCAGCTGCCAGCAAAGCTAGCTGTAGAGCTAGATGGAGGTGGAAGGAGGGCGTGGGCCGGCTTCGGAGCCTTTGGAAGGAATAGGGAATATTCCCTGTTGATAATGATATGATAAGGAAACAGCATCAGAGGCAGAGCCAGGGCCTTCCGTCCTCCCCCAAGTGGAGAGGCAGCTGTCTTCGGGGCCTGAGCTGAGTGAGGGGGAGGAACAGATGGGGCCCATCCCAGATGTGCAGAGAGGAAAGGAGAGCAAAGGAAAGCAATAAGCCGTCTCTCAGGGAAAAGCAGACGTAGACGCTAGCCAGCCCCTCCCTGGCTGGGGAATAAATAGGAGGGGTTTGGGAGTGGCTGGTTGTCTGAGACAACCATTCGTTTCTACTATACAGAAAGCAATTCGGATTTCTTGGATAAACCCAGGTTTGTTGGGACTACTTACGTTTGATTTTTTTTTTTTTTTGTTTATCCCTGTGAATAAAAGACTTACTGCCCTGTTATCAAAAGAGGTTTGTTTTACTCACGAGTAAACATCTTATCACTACTTGCGAAGGCTGGGTCAGAACACTTTACCTAGGATTCCCCACTTAATGACCCATGCATCTGGACTTATGACGGCAACCGCACATGCCAGGATTTCCATCACTAAGCAATATGGTCACGTCATGTCCTGCTTTATGACCACATCACTTAAGATACAGAAAGTTTAACAATTAGGATTGTTAAACCGAGGACTGCAGTAAAGCGAAGAAGGGAAGAAACGTGAAAAGCACCAAGGTGGATTCCTGCAGGTGCAGTTGTGTATTACACTGTCTTTCCCCCAAAAATATATTGTGATTTGTTTTATCCAGGAGTATCTGAAATTGAAGGGTTGGATTATAGACCGATTTGTCACTCTTTATCTCTGAGGAACCAATCTAGATTTTCAAGCAATTATCTAATAATTCCGCCTGATAAAAAGTGGCACTGGGCACTTTCTCATACCGATAGACATTTCTGTAGTATTCATAAAGGACACCTCCAACAATTTCCTAGCTTGGTATTATAAAGTTTATTGGAGAAGATTGAAAAGATCAGATAGTAATTGCCCTCATCTGTCATAATCTCCAAGGTGGCTGTCCGGCAGCCAAGACATTATTGCAACGCCGGTGGAAATGTGCAAGAACCTGACAAACAATCTACTTGTATGCCTTCTCAAAGTTAAGTGTCCTGCTATGCTTCTAAAAAGTTTGGTGGTATTCTGATCCTGTTCCCCAAACACGATGAACCCTCTGTAGTTGAAGCAATGATTCCTTTATTAGGAGCGCCAGCAGCAAGGGTGGAATCCAGCAGGTACTGACAGGTTCTGGAGAACCGGTAGAAGAAATTTTGAATAGTTCAGAGAACCGGCAAATACCATCTCTGGCTGGCCCCAGAGTGGGGTGGGAATGGAGATTTTGTAATATCCTTCCCCCAGGAGTGGGGAGGGAATGGGGATTTTGCAGCATACTTCCCCTGCCATGCACATCAAGCCACGCCCACAGAACCGGTAGGGAAATTTTTTGAATTTCACCCCTGGCCAGCAGCCCCTGCAAAAAGTTTTTCTCTCACTGCAGGCTAACAAGTCTGTCCGGCAGGGAGATGAATAGTTGCCTGCCACATCTATTCATCTCTGCCCCCTGCCTATTATCCCCAGAGCTAAGGTGGGGCTTCGCTAGCAGCGATGGCTCTTCTGTCCCAAGGATCAGCCCATAGATTTCCACTGCTCTCCTCTCCTCTGCCTTCTGCACATCCGCGCATGAGGCACTGGACCCACCTGTTCCTCTTCTTCAGAATAGAATAGAATAGAATAGAATAGAATAGAATAGAATAGAATAGAATAGAATAGAAATAGAATAGAATAGAATAGAATAGAATAGAATAGAATAGAATAGAATTTTTTATTGGCCAAGTGTGATTGGACACACAAGGAATTTGCCTTGGTGCATACGCTCTCAGTGTACATAAAAGAAAAGATACGTTCGTCAAGAATCATAAGGTACAACACTTAATGATAGTTATAGGGTACAAATAAGCAATCAGGAAACAAGCCACCTCCAGATCTGGGGGCTGTTGACTCTCCATCTGAGGGCTGACGGACAGCCCAGTCTCCACCTCTGTCTCTCTCTCTGCCAGTTCCATTCCCTCTTCCCACTCAGGGCTCTCAGGTTGCCTTGAAGCTGACCCTGACTCCCACACCTCCTCATCTGATTCGGCTGCTGGAGGAGCCGGCGGCCAACAGGCCACAACAGATGGTGTCTTTCCTCAGTCCTTCATCATACTGTCAGAGCAAATTACACATGGGCACGTAAAGGATTGATAAAAAAAATTAAGGATATGTGAGTTTTACAGAATACCTCAGGAATGTAGTCTTCCCAAGGGAGATATTCTGATCACCGTTCTTTAGGAAAATATAGGTGCTTTGAAATGTAGGCTTCTTGAAAACAAACATCGGGTATGCTTCCTACGGAAAAATGCTACCGTGTTTCTCCGAAAATAAGACCCTGTCTTATATTTTTTGAACCCCGAAATAAGCGCTTGGCCTTATTTTGGGGGAGGTCTTATTATTTTGGGGCACATGGAGCAAGATGGGGCTCCTCTTGCTGTTTTACCTGATTTCCAACTCTGTCTCCCTAACCCTAACTGGAGGAAATGGCGGGGACCGGCTACGCATGTGTTTAAATATTTTTGGGAGGGCTTACTTTCGGGGGAGGGCTTACTTTCGGGGGAGGGCTTTTTATCTGGGGAGGTCTTATTTTGGGGGAAACAGAGTAGATTATACTGATGTTAAATATACTAGTTTTAGACTATATTAGTGTACACCACCTGTATGCCATGGATCCACTGTAATCTGTACAGAATACCAAAAATCCAATCAAGGTCAGATTAGGTCATCTTCATTCTTTCTTTGTTTTTAATTCCAGATTATCTACATCCCTAACTTCTATAATTGCTAGGGAAACCTGAATACCTGGAAGAAAAAATAACTCCTATCACCTATTTTTTACAGTCCAAAAATTTTGCAATGATACGCTGATGTCCTCAGTTAATGGATTGGCAACATGAAGAGCAATAAAAAGGTTAAGTATTAGAAGACCTGGATTTGATTCTGATCTTCCCAAATCAAGATTCTTATCTCCAACTAAGAGCTCCTTGGTGATTCTGAACTTCCATTGAATAGGCCTATTAGCACAACCTGAATCTCATTTATAGCCAGACAAGACTTCTATAAAACTTCATTCAAAAATTTTGGTAGCATGTAGTTTTTTAAGAAGAGGTACCTTTTATTAGATTTCTATTTCTGGGATCTATATCTACGGTAACTCCCTTTTTACAACCCTGTAATCCCTTAATCTGGGGTAGAGTCAGGGCAACTGGATGGAGGTGAGCATTTAGTAGCTGGATGCCCTTCCTGACACCTAAGCGAAGTTTGCAGCAGATATTTTTTTCTCAGCGCCTTAGGAGACAAACATCTGCTGCTACTTAGGATTGAACTCTCAACTTTCCGAGGGAGAGGCTAGCATCTTCACCACTAGGCCACCATACCGCTCAACCTATATCTATAGTAAGGATTATAAAAGGTCATCATTCTCAAGTCAGAGACTGAGGGGCTAGATGGGATTACAGATCAGTTGTATGGATTTAACTACCATTCTATAATTTGCAGTATATATTAGCCTGCAGTGTTGCAGGCTAATTCTGCCAACTGCCAGCAATTCGATTCTGACCAGCTCAAGGTTAATTCAGCCTTCTACCTTTCGGAGGTCAGTAAAATGAGGACCCAGATTGTTGGGGGCAATAGGTTGACTCTGTAAACTGTTCTGAGTGGGCTGTAAAGCACTGTGAAGTGGTACATAAGTCTAAGCATTATTGCTATTGTTTGGTCCATTTCATCCACAGCTCTGGCATTTTTACCCGCAAAATGACAATGAATGTTCGTGGTTATGATTACATGAATTTCTGGATCATTGTATCTCAATTAACTGTGAAGGAATCATGATCTCATCACAATGATTAAAAATTGCCTAGAGGTCTGCTTGTAAAAACTGTTAGCAAAATTGTAAAACCATCAGTTATGAAATTTGCCTTCCTGTAGTGAAGATAATTTAAGTTTTATTCATTACAACCCGAAGCCAGCATTTAAGTAGGAATCAAAAGAAAAACCCTTAGTCAGAATAGACACAAATACTAGGGATATATAGCAATCCATTTTAAATCTTAAACTTTACAATGGATTTCCTGCAGAAGCTTTAATGTTAGCGGGGGGGAAACATTTTAAAAATTAAAATCTGAACTAATGCTAGAAATAATAGTTGGTCCTTGACTTACAACCACAGTTGGAACTGAAACTTTGCTCCCTAACTGATGTGGTTGTTAAATACGTTGTACCTTATTTTACAACCTTTTATGCCACGGTTGTTAAGCGAATCACGTGGTCATTAAATGAATCTGGCTTCTTCCACTAACTTTGCTTATCAGAAGGCTCCTGGGAAGGTTACAAATGGCAATCTAATAACCCTGGAATGCTGTAATTGTCATAAATACATGCCGGTTACCAAACATCCAAGTTTTTATCACATGATCCAGGGGCTTCTGTAATAGTCATAAGTGTGAGGATCAGTCATAAGTGACTTTTTTCAGCACTATCGTTAACTTCAAACAGTCGTTACATGAGTGGTTTTCAATTGAGGACAATTTATAGTTGCCCTAAAGCTTTTGCT